CAGACACGTGGAGAGGTGCAGACGTCCCTGACACAAAAGAGGAGGCAGGCACGAAACAGGTATCCACAGCTGATTTTGGGTCTAAGACCTCGCAAATTGGCAACTTCATACGCAGTTTTGCTTCCACTACTCCATGCAAAATTGACGTAGCGCCAAACAGGCCAACACATGAGAATGCTTGCAACACACTGGCACAGGTGGCAGCGTCAAATCAGGAGAGAAGAGAGGCCAGTCAGTTGTCAAGTGGCACACTGCAAGAGAGTGGCATGTCTCCAAGCCTGGTGGATATTGAGGTTTGTCGACAAGTACAACTTAGATGTTTACTACTGGAAGGTTTCTTGCGTCTGAAATACTGTAGCATTTAGCGTTTTTTTACACAGCACAACAAGGGCTGTGGCACACTGATCCTAGTCGTGCTGACCAGATACAATGGACATACCGACTCAACTGAACCAGTGGCATGAGGACCCAGAAGCTCCGGAGGCAGACACGCCTCAGAGAGAAGAAAAAGTGGAGGAGCTCCTAACACTGCAAGTCAATTGAAGTCGCAAGAGGGAACATGCTTTTTTTAACAAATATTTTTACAAATTGCAGAGAGTGGAGACATCGCCAACCAATTGGTCTTGTATCATTGTGGTCCGTTGTCTATCTTACTACCGTCATGTTGAGACTGACCAGTCGTGTCTCTCATGTCTTCTGTTCACTTGTCATGTTGGGAGATCGCCGGCTCAAGCCATTTGGCCATCGATTTGGCTGGCAGCAGGCAGAAAAGGAAGTTCGTGCCCGCGCCCGGCTCGAAGCCGCCAACACTACAGGGGTGGGGGCACCACCGGGAGTTTGTGCTGTGTGAGCCGAAGGACGTAGCGACATGGCAGACACATTGAATCCGTTGCTTGGGAGCTTGGCCAAGGATCCCAAGGCCACTGAAGACTTCAGCAAAGAGGTCGAAGAGCTCCTGAGCCGTGTGGATACCATGGCCACAGCGGGGCGCTTGGAGGAAGCCATTGAGCTGCTTCTGGGCTTGGAGAAGAAGACTCGTCAGGCCTCGGATGGTATCTCAACCTCCAAGTTGGTCTGTAAGATTTGCAAGATGTACTTTGATGCAAAAGAGTGGACAAAGCTCAAGGAGAACATCATCACCCTTCCCAAGAAGCGAGGACAGCTGAAGCGATCCACTACCGACATGGTGCATCTGGCCATGAGCTGGTTGGATGGCTTAGACAAGGAAAAGAGATTAGATCTCATCAATACGCTCAATGAAGTGACCGAAGGAAAGATTTTTGTCGAAGTGGAAAAGGCCCGTCTTACTCAGATGTTGGCCAAGATGAAGGAGGAGGAAGGGAAGATTGATGAGGCAGCCAGCTTGGTACAAGAAGTCCAGGCGAGCCATGACCAATAACTGCCATGCTGCCATGACCGTCTTCTTGTCTCAACTGATGCTGTAGAGATAAGTTTGCCTCAACCAGTACTGTAAGGTCTGTCCTGTCCCAAGTGACAGTTGGTAAAGCTTTGCTACTAATTGTAACACAAGTCACAAGAGAATATCACATCATAACAGAAGTAACATGAATGAACACAAGTACATGCTCATATCAAATCATGTTCCACTATCACTCTGTTTCCGCAGCAAAGCTTTCTTTCTTTCTTTCTCAGGTGGAATCCTTCGGTGCGATGGAGCGAAGGGAGAAGACAGAGTATATCCTAAATCAGATGCGCCTAGTCTTAGCCAAGAAGGACTTTGTTCGAACGCAGATCATCAGCAAGAAGATCAACCCCAAACTACTGGAATCTGAGGACTTCCAGGACCTCAAGATCCAGTATTTTGAATTCATGATCAGATATTGGCTGCACGAGAAGAAGTTCTTAGATGTGGCAAAGTGCACCTTGGCCATCTTCAACACTCCGTCAGTGAAGGAGGACGAGGCCAAATGGAAGGAGGCGCTGACCTCCTACTGCATCTTCTTGGTTTTGTCGCCCTATGACAACGAGCATGACGACATGCTACATAAGCTTGATACGATGGAAGGCAAGAAGCTGGAAAAGATCCCAGTCTACAAGAATCTCATCAACATCTTCATGAAGAAGGCTCTGCCACATCATTTAATTTGGCGGGTTGATGAAGGGTTGCTTTCTAGTGCATTTTTATGTTGATTCTTTTTTGGTTACTGTACTACATCATCTTCCCTAGCTATCAACTCCCTCGAAGCATTTCACCATTCTGAACCTTGGTTCCCATTCCCTTGACCAGGCCATTGTGAACTGGCCTCTAGCGGATGAAGCTGAATTGAAGAGACATTCGGTCTTCCAAGAGTCGCCTCATGAGGGTGCAGAGGAACGTTGGCAGCTGCTGAGGAAGAGGGTGGTGCAGCACAACATTAAGGCCCGGCCGACCAACAAGCACTCATAAAACCCAGAACGATCCATAGATTATTCCAGGGGTCACTCAGGTTTCTAGGTATAACGGAAAGGGGCTGGTGGGGTGGATTTCAGAGTGATGATGCAAAGGTTGACATGTGTGTGGAGATCTGAATGGGTTGTTTGTTTGTGCAGTTTGCAACAAATGGGGATACACATCCTTCTGACTGTGTGATGGTTCGCGTATGTTCACGTGTTTTGGTACTCAGGGCCCTGGCCGCCCTGTGCCCGTTCGCCTATAGGTCATCTCAGAGTTCTACGAGCAGATCCACACCAAGCGGCTTTGTGAGCTGGTCGGTCTCGGAGACAAGGAAACCGAGGAAGAGCTTTCGGAGCTCGTTTGCTCGAAGTTCGTCTATGCCCGTATCGACCGGCCAGCGGGGACCATCAAATTCGGAAAGAAACAGACCTATATCGACCGCCTCAATGGCTGGTCTGACAGCATCACCAAAATGCTGGACCTCGTGGAGAACACGAGCCACCTCATCCAGAAGGAGCAGATGATTCATGCGGCTAGAGCGAAGCTGAAGGGCAAGAAATAGATAGCTGAGAGACGTGAAAGGTGTCGCTCACTGAAAAGAACAGTGGGGCTCCGGCCTGCAGAATCTGCAAGATGACCCTCGCCTAGTAAAAAAGAAACATAGCTCGCCAGGCTGCGACTGTCTTCCCAACTTTGCCATGTCTTGTTGTGGAATGAACTTGCAGCCAAACCAAATAGACTGGTCACCTTCCTGCCCTGTGCCGGATCCAGGCTGCAGAAGGCTGCCCTGCAGAAAAGGAAATAGCTGAGGAAAAGGAGGAGGCAAGCCAAATACATATTCAGATCATTTGATTTAGACCTTGCATACTGGTCCAGTGGCGGTATTTATATATAAAATACTATATATATATATATATATCTGTCTTGGACGTTTGTGGTGCACCGCTGACCGGCGCAGGTGACTGAACAGCCAAAGGAGGCAAGCAGAGAGAACGACTGGTTTTCTGTTGCTCTTGCGTTTGGATTTGTTGCATTCACTTGTCTGCCACAGATGGGTGACATATTATAGTTGCGGCCTTGGCCTTGTCTATGCAACGCCATTCTCACCTCTTGCAGCTTTTCATTGATGATCAATCTTTCCGTTCTTAACCCAACGATGATCAAGGAGCGCCACGATGTTTGAGGCCAAACATAACCAGCCTAGCAAATAAGACACTGTCCTCACTGGTGGCGATCCATTTTTAGCGTGTCACAGCCTGGATGGGGCCTCCATGGTCTCAAAGGTTTCTGTAGAGCCACCCGGGAAGACCTTCCCAAAACTCAAGATATGCGGAGCAAGGACGCTACTAGGGGCTCCTGGCCTTACTACTAGTAACAATAAAGCTACTAGGAACAAGGGCATCGCTACTAGGAGCAAGAAGCTCCTAGGAACAAGGGCATCGCAGCATCGCATATCATGTTTTTCTGCTGGAGAAGAAGCGTGGATGTTCGTTCCCCCTTAGCTTTCTTTCCTGTTGAAGGAAGGACATCAACCTTTCTTTCATCTATGTAGTTTCCTTTCAGTTCCCTTCAACTTTAAGCTTCAACATCGCAACGATCTTCCGCCAGACTGATGTTGCACCAGTGCGACAGGAGAGGGAGGCCGGAGGGTGGGTTTGGACGATGTCTTTGAGGTTTTGCTGCGAACAAAAATGGAAGACCTTTGATGGTAGTTTTGGCCGTGAGCCTAGTATATCCAAACTTGCCGGTCTTTTGGGTGATGGACATCTATATGTGACCCACAGCCATGGGAGTACTAATTAGATCTTGTTCTCTGGCTTGGAAGTAGCTACATCAACTGGACTTGGATCCATGTCAGCGAAATGAAGCCCAGTGGCCCTTGGTTCCCCCACTAGGGCTCTTCAGCATCTGTCAAGCAACTCACATTTGACATCGGAAGCAGCGCCAGGAGCCACCTGTCCCTGAGGAGATCGATTTCTGAGCTTCGACGCAGACTTCGCGCATGAGGGATGGCCGGAGTCCTGACTTCTTTCACCATGAGCTTTGAGAGGTTTTTGGTTCCATATAGAGCGATCAGGAGCTCCTCATGGTTGATTGGTTTGACAGAAAAGACAATGTGGTGTTTGCTTGTTGATGTCATCGTGGAAGGCTCATGGTGGGGGAAATGTGTAGTGTAGGCTTTTAACAGAATTTGATCTGGACGCAACTCGCCGTCCCGCTGATGAATGGCGCCTCTTTTGTTGCTGGCGTGGCTGATGATGAGTGCAATCTGGTCCTTCTGAACATCGTGGGTCCGAAACAACCATGGAACTGCGCAGGCACGGTCAGACCTCAATTTCAGAGCATACCGGATGGTTGGTGGTTTCAGACCGACAGATACTTTTTGTCCTGCCCCCCGAGTCCCTCTTGGCGGAGGGACATCAACCCTTCCTACTCCAAGTCCAGTTCTATTCAAGACGCTTCGTGTCGACAGCCGCCTACACCGCGCACGAATGGGGGACAAGTGCAGCCATCTAGGCGCCAGGTTGGCTGTCTTACGGCTGCGTTGGAGCCATCTTGGGGCCAACTTCGTCTACCTTGGGGCCCATAATGGTGATACAACTTCGGCATTGCCAAAATCCATCCAAAAATACACCTCCAAAACGCTGTCCCCAGTGGCCCTGCAGCCGAGCAAGAATCAACGCAGCAACCACCCCAAGACACAAAAACTCCTTCAAAACGCTCTCTCCAGTGGCCCTGCAAGCACGACGTAACGAAAAATCATCCAAAAATGTACCTCCAAAACGCTCTCCCCAGTGGCGGAGAAAAAGGCCCCCCGTAGCAGAGCTATATGCATAGGATGTTTTTGCTAAAGTGCAGAGCTCGACGGCAAGAGCCCCAATAGCACGCCCTGCACCGACAAGCGGTTTGGGCGGACTTTCTCCTGGAATTAGTGTCAGAAAGTCACTGCTGGCGGTAGCATGTCTCAAAATGGGATACCTCCAGAGATAGATAGCATCAAAGAGGAAAACATACCAAAGAAGATAAAGAAGCGCGCTTTAAGCACAGAAAAAGGCAAGAGAAAGAAAGACAGAAAAGGTATAAAGGTCCAGGGTCGCTCAACCGTGCTAAGCCATTCTCACCGAAGGTGAGCCGTATGTGCCCACGCCATCACATGCCCACTCGATCAGCCTCATGGCCCGACGAATCCGCTTTTCCCGCTCGTGCGCATCCCTGTGACCTGCCATATGAAACCTATGCCCCTTGAATTCACCAGCTGCTTTTTGTTCTTTGTTGATTTACAGTACGCGGGATGCGCATATGGCTGTTTTGAAGATCGAAGGACACCATCGCCCGCTCTGTTTGAAAAGGTCACCAGTTGGCATAGGCGAACCTGAGCGTGAGGAAGAACTGGAGGGAGTTGCCTAGAAGGCATGACCTCAGTAAGCTTTCTCGGTTCAAGACTCACAGCAGAATCTGGGTGATACTACGTTAATCGTTTTATACATTCAAAGGCTTTTGATGGGAATAGGCTACCGGGGTTTCGACTATGACTTGGAGATATGATTATGTGCTTAAAATGGTTGGGGAGAAGCTCCAGGAGTTTGTTGGTGGTGCCCGTGATTGACCCATCGAAACCTCACAAATGTGAGACACCGGTGTGATGACATCTGCCCAAATGGCAAGAGAATAGCTTCAATGACCGGAGCACTCACTTGAAGTGGTAGGGAGCCAGGGCAGCGGGCTCCTTTTCCTGACAAGATCGGGAGATTGGACCGCAATCTTCAACTTTCAGCCTCCTTTTGTAGGCCTTTTGGGTGTTGCGTTGTTGGGCTCGAACTTCCTGCCAAGCATCGTCTTCGACGATTGTCCATTGCCCTGAACTCATGATGGCCTGAAGCACATTGTTCCCTTTCAACTTTGTCAAACAGTCGGAGGCCTGTTGAGGGCCAGGGATCCAACGACAAAACGATGAGGCATCAGGATCAGCCAACTCTCACGAAGGGCTCCGATGTCAAGGGCTGTCCTTCGGTCTTGGGGAAGCTCTTCACTGGACAAGCAGTCATAAGCCACCTTAGCGTCCAGGATCAGCAGGATGGGACATTGCTTCACATAATCAAACCAGCGGCGCATCACAAAGCCAACATCTCTGACTTCACATAGGATGGCCCTGAGGAATTCTGCATGCTCATAGCCCAGTGATGCTGCAGCAGCTTCAACAGCGGAAGAGCTCCTGACGACTCTCTTGCACGAAGTGCTGCGCCACTCTATACGGGCAGCCGCGCTGACTTCTGGATGTACCCTTGGGCTTGCCAGCATCAAGAAGACTCCTAATTGGGACTTCCCTCTCGGCATAGCTGCCAATGCACCATCGGTTGCCACCAGCGCCATGATGTTGTTCAAGGCACATCCCAACCCTTTGATATAAAGACCTTTCTTGCTTGGCCTTCTGGACTGTGGCATTAGACAGACGGAGAGTGCTTCCTGTGGCATCCACCAAATTCTGCTGCAGATACGACACAGCAAACGCCAAATCTGGTCGTCCTTGCTTTGCAAGCCAACCAAGCTGTCCAACCAATGCTCGCAGTTGTGAAGACTGTTCTGGCGACACCGGATCTTCATCACTCATAGAAGCGCTCTCTTCCGCTTCATGCAGAGACTGGCAGTAGATGTTCATGTCGATGGTGACCGTGTGTCTATCGTCGCTTTGACGCATCACACGTCCCAAGAACTTGCCACCACCTTTCAAGTCAGTCCAGCTACCGAATTTGAGTTTCGACTGAAGAATCTTCCAGTCCTCATTCACTTCCGGACTCCCTGCCAGCACAATGCATCATCAACGTGCAATGTCACCAAACCAATAAGCTCACCACGACTGTTGTGCTTCATGAACAAGCAAGGGATCAACTTGGATTCAGAGTACCCAATTGACTTCAGAGTGTCCCGAAATTTGAAATCCCAAAGGCGAGGGCTCTCACTGAGTCCGACGATTCCTTCGGTTGCCTCAAACATGTCACTTCGGCTATCCGGTCCCAAACGCCACTTGAGGTACTCGGCAATCTCCGGTGGACAGCCAGATGGGATCTGGATGAACAAGGGGTCAGTCCGAGGCAACTCCAACCCTTGAAGGAAAGCTGCTGTCACATCAGCGATGTTCACTACCCAACCAAGCGTTGTAGCAATGCGCAACAGCAATGCATGTGCCAAGGACAATGCTGTTGGGCTTGCTACATCATATTTACCAAGGGCAGGAACCCGGTGGCCACCAACACAAAGTCTACCCTTGGGCTCAAAGCCTTGAGCCACATGCTTCTAGTTGATGATGACCACGCGCGAACGGATCACTCGCTCCTTGGGTACGATGTGACCCAATGGAACAGCCTTGATGGCCTCATGGTCGAAGTGAATAGCCAAAGCCTTTGACCAGGGCTGGTATCGTCAACCTCAGTTCTCCAGCTGTCATGTCCTTGACATAGATTTCGTCGCCGGCGCCTGGAGGGGGCCCATTTCCATGGCCACGCTCTAGACGACAAGTCTCCCAGGAGGGTGAAGCGGGCCTCACGCAGTTCAGCCTCATGTCGG